AAAAAGAAATAAATAAATGAGCCAGTCCGGCTTTGAAAGGTCAGCTGAAGTCCAGGGGACAGGACTGAGCACACCAGGGTAAGGACTTAATGCCAGAGCCCTCTCCGTGGACTGCGCTCCCACCTTGGGAATGTCTCAGTCGCACGTTGGGCCCACAGCAGGGGGAGCTCTGAAGACTCCACCCAGCACAGTGTTAACAGTCAGGCTGGAAACCAGCAGACAAGGAGCCGGAGGGCGGGTCCACTCACGGGACACGTGGCCATTAGAAAGTGTCTTCTTATTTTTAGTTTAGCAAATTGATACTCATTTACTATTAGGTTGTTGTTATTTGCCGCTGTTGAGTTGACATCTGTAACTCAAAGCACCCCATGCATAACAGAAAAAAAAAATCCTGTGTGGCCTCGCGTTACCCACATTATTCATCGGGGTTAGTGCTGCTCACTTTGTGCTCCATGACGCCCTCATCCACTGAATGTGGGAACTGCATTCATTCTCTTCCTCTCCAGCCCATCACAGGAGCAAAGCTCCGTCCAGGTGAAGGTTCAGCCTATTCTTCCAGCAGGATTCATTGTTCTATCTTCCTCTTTCACTTATTGAGAAAGTGTCCTCTTACAGGCAGACCTCCGAGATAGCAAGTCCTTCCATCTCAAAGCCCTTCACTTCCTCACAGCTGCCAAGTCCATTCTCCATGGAGGCAACATTCTCACGGGTCCTGGGGTTCAGACGTGGACTCCTTGGGGACCTAAGCCTACCGCACCAGGGCTGGGACCTGCGGTCTGTCCCGACTCAACGGCTCAGGGACTTGGGTCAATCAGCATGACTTCCTGTGTGCCCCACTTCCAGCCACACTTCCACCAGGAGCTGCCCCTGGAAACATCTCATGTGCTTTCTGGAATCCAGTCGTTACAGTGAATGTACCTTATGATCCGACAGAGGATTAACGGACAGATTTCAGAGAGCTCCCAAGACTCATTCCCACTGAGTCAAACAGGCTCATTCTGCCCCCTGGGGGCCTCCCCACTGAAGGCCGCTGGGAGGACAGGACTTCATACGTCCTCACTTCAAGCCCACAGCGAACCTTGCCCAGGAGTGCCCAGTTCTCGCAACAGAGGAGGCCTCCACCAGCACCCGGTGGGGGACTCACAGGAGCCCTGAAGCAGCATGAAGCAAGTTCCAAAGGGCTGAAACTGAGTCTGGGGCCCTTGCTGGAAAGACTGTCTGTACTCGGGAGATTTCATGGTTGAGGTACTGAAAGGTCAACTTGGGGCTTCGGGATCCAAGGCCTGGCCCCCAAGCCCCAGATTGCACCACACCCCAGAAGCAGTTGTCTGCACACCGGGAATTCAATTAGAAGTGTGTTTGGGGTGGTAATAATTTTGTGGCTCTGATGGTCAGAGGGGGCTGCAGCCAGATGAAGCGGGAAGGGGTGACTAGACCCCACCCCATTCAGGGTCAGTCCACGAAGGCGTGTGATGACTCTTGTCGAGGTATTAATGAAATGCCTCTAGGTGCAAATAACGGTTTAATAGGTGTTACTTAACCAGCACGGCTCCCCTGCGCCCTGCTCCCCCTGCACCCCCAGCTGCTGCCACCCCCTCCTTGTTAGAATAAGTAATTAGAGTGTCGGAACACTCACTTTGACACTTTAATAAAGTGTCAGCCATCGCCAGTTTGGGATTTAATAAAATAAAATTAAATATTTATTACATTTTCCGTAGCATTGTATTTAAAACACACTCAACCGCCATCACCACCCCATATACAGCCCTCCCTCAGCACATCAGCCCCCCAGGGTCTGTGGCCCAGGACACTCCTCAGCACCTTTCAGAAGTCCAAAGATGAGCCTGATAATGGGATATGTGTGGCTAAGAGAGAAAGAAATCAGGCTGGAGAGAAAGAAACAGAGAAATAGAGATGGAAAGACAGAGGGGACAAACAGATTGGGGAGAGAGGGAAAGTCAGAGGAGAGACAGACAGACAGACAGGTGGGGGTAAAGAAGGACAGAGGGGGACTGAGAAACAGAGGGGAAGCAAGATGGAGAAGGAGGGAGAGAGACGGAGGGCGTGGAAGGGGGGAGAAGTGGGGGGGGAGATGGGGAGGGAGAAGGAAAAGGAGGGAGAGAGGAGAGGGGAGGGTGGGGGCAGCAGGAGGGCAGAGAACCTAGAGGCCCAGAGGAGCGAGTGACCAGAGAGGACAGGCACCTGTGTGGGAGTGGCAGGACCATGGGGGGACATGGAGGTGCATTCTGGTATCAGACCCATTTCTGCCTTTCCCACCTTCCAGTCCTTGCCCACTGCTCTGCCATGTCCATCAGGTCTCAGCCACGGCCACTGAGAGGCCTGGGGGACCACCCTGGAGAGAGAAACATGAAATGGAGGCCTGGGAAGGGGGCCCTCAGCCCTGGTTTCATGAAGATTTGGGGGTCAGAGGAGGCAGGGCCACTCAGTCTGTTCCACACACAGCGATGCCCCCACACTGCTCCCAAGGCCCTACACAGGGGTCCTTGCTCCTCCTTCCTCCTGCACCCCCTCAGCCTCCATCTGACTCCAGGGGTTCTGGGGAGCAGACTGTCATCTTTCTCCCCCAGGATGGCTGGTGGTCAGCGCCTTTCAGCTGGCCACCTACTATCAGAACAACTGTGTCGCTGTGCCTCTTAGAATAATCACATGGAGGTGGAAAATAGGGTCACTACCAGCAAGCAATCCTGGTGGAGCAGGGGCTGAACCCACCAGCTGCTCCAAGAAGAAATACCAGGCCGCCTGCTTCTAGGAAGATCCTCGGAATCCCTGTGGGCACCCCCCTTCCATCATCAGGCTCGACTGCTGGGAGCAGGAGCCACTTGAGGACAGTGGGCCCCACCCGAGGACAGTGGGGCTGGCCTGAGGACGGTGGGGCCGGCCTGAATGGTGGGACCAGCCTGAGGACGGTGGGCCTGGCCTGAGGACGGTGGGCCCGACCTGAGGATAGTGGGTCTGCTTGTTTATTTGCACTGACACAAGTTAAGGTCCCATTGGCTCAGGCCCACTGACCTCTCCTGGGATGAGCCACGTGGTGCACGGTCCTGGGTCCTCGAGTCATAGTTGTGGCTGCTCTGACAGTCGAGTTCAGGCAAGCTTGTCTCAGTTTTACTGACCCTTACTCTACAAAATGTGACAGATTCGCAGTACGAGGTTGAAGCCACATCACCAGTCTCCCAGGAGCGCCCCAGGTGGATTTCTTCCACATCTGCCTTGTTCATTTTCCCAGCAGGCCACAGCAACACAGTATTTTTTTGCCAACACCACTTTTAAAACCTCCTTGGAAGGGGACATCATGTTTGGAAGGGTGTCAGGTCAGGTGTCTCCCTGACAGACACGGGCCTCAGTCTCGCAGCCACGGGGTTCAGAGCTGGGATCCTGCAGGGCAGGCTGCCTCTTCATCCCACAAGGAGGTGCACTGATGGGCCAATCCTGGGTCCCTGTCCACACAGCCTCAGTGGAACAGGGTCTCTGGAGATGTCTCCTGGGCCAGGGTGGGTCCTAAGTTCACCTAAGTGGTGTCCTTACAAATGAAGAAGGAAAAGGGGAGGTGCCATGGGAAGAACAAACTACACGGGGCCACCAGAAGGGAAAGAGGGGACTGTCCCATGTCCCTCTGGAGGGCACAGCCCTGCCCACACCCTGATTCAGACTTCCAGCCTCCACAGCAGAGGACATTTCTGTTGTCCAAAGCCCCCAAATCAGCCGCTCTCGCTTGCCCTCAGTGAACTGTCAGACAGGGCAGCCCACCAGCCCCTCACACACTGGGAAACAAAGGGTCCAAAACGAGGGTGACTTGCCCAGGTCCCCAAGAACTGGGGGATGCTGGGTATGCACATCCGGACCCATTTCTGCCTTCAGAGCCCCTCAAGTCCTACTGCCCCATCCTCAGGGGCTCACCATGCCAGGCCATCACCATGGATGGAGGTGGGGACAGTCAGGGGCGCACAGCCAATGAGGTCAGGTAGCGGGTGTGGGAGCTGATCCCAGGAGTGTGGGTACCCCGGCAACCTGGCAGTGTGGGGTCCCCTGAGAAAGCCCTTGCTGATGAGAGGTTGGTGGGGTGGCTTGGGTAAAATGAGGTCACACACACCACGCAGCCTTTCTCTATGGAAGTAGGTGCTGGGGGGGGCACAAGTCCTCACCCCACCTGTGGGCACCAGACCTCTGAGACTTGTTGCCACAGCAACAAGCTCCATTGCTAGGAGACTCTGGGCCCCAGAGCCCAAGAGGGCTGAGCCCAAGCCAGGTGCTGCAGGGCAGGGACAGGCTGGGCTGCACTGTACCCTTCCTCTGCCCTCACCCCAGGAACCCCTCCTGCATCACGGAGCATGGGGCCTCTTCTGCTGTACCCCTGACAGACACCACCACAGTCACTGAGGGCATAGCTGCTGATGGAACCCCGCGGGGGAAATCCTTGCAGGCACCATGTCTGTGAGAACCACGCCGCTGTTGGGCTGTTTCCCCAGCCTGAGTAGAAGAGGGCCCAGGTGGGGGGTGGCTCAGACCTTTCCCTAGCACTGGTGTAACAACTACCGCGTCAACTACCGCAAGGGAGTGTCTTTAAGAAACAGGAATTCATTTGCTCACATTTAAGAGGCTTGAAATCCAAACTGAGGGCATCAGCTCTAGGGGAACCTTCTCTCTGTGGGCTCCAGGGAACGTCCTCGACTCCTTTCACCATCTGTGGGCCTGGCATCCCAAGAGACCTCCAGGTGTCTTGGTACCAGCCTTTCCAGGGTCTAAGAGATTCTCAGCTCAAGGACCCAGCTCCAGACCCATCTCTTCTCTTCCAGTGGCAGTCAGATCTCCGCTGCTTCTCGCTCCTTCTACCTCTTCTAGGCTGGTGGACTCACAAACCCTCGGGGCTGTTCCACTCTGTCCAGTGTGTCATGAGTCAGAGATGATGCCATGGAGCTGGACAGAGGAATGAGGGGCTCAAGACACGTTTCCTGTTGTCAGGGACCACCAAGCTGACCATGACGCAGACACCCAGAGGACAGCAGATCTCACCATCCCCTCCACACCCAGATTCATTGCTGTGTTCACTGTGTCAGTCCATCGCAATACTCAAGACACATCCTGGTCCAATCTCATGAACGTGACCATTCATTTCCAAATGGGGCCGTAACCAGAGACTAGAATTTACCACATAGCACGCAACTGAGGAAACTACCTCAGATCACAAAGTGGAGACAGTCACACAATACAGTACAATACAATACAGCACAGCACAATATAACACAACACAATACAATACAACACAACACAATACAATATAACACAACACAACACAATACAATACAATACAACACAACACAATACAATATAACACAACACAATGCAATGCAACACAACACAGCACAATACAACACAACACAATACAATACAACACAACACAATACAACACAACACAATACAACACAATACAATACAACACAACACAATACAATATAACACAACACAACACAATGCAATGCAACACAACACAACACAATGTAACAACACAATACAATACCATCATGACCCAGCCAAGTTGACCCGTATTTTGGGGGAAAAGGACATAATTCCCTCCATGACAAGCCTCTCTCCTCCACCTGTCCCCTCTGAGAAGTTGGCCCTGCCTGGACCCCTACATCAGCCACCCTGACAATCCCAGTTCCTTGGGAAGTGGGAGCCACTACAGGGTTCTTGAAGGAGGGTGGTCAGGAGGAATGCCATGTTTAGAGCAGGAGGTTAAAAAGTTTGGGAGCTAAGTACTTGTGGGGAGATGTAGAGACAATATGACAGCTATGTTGGGGGTCAGTGGAGATTCAAGGGTCTGTCTCCTTGAGTAGAGTCCCCCTACAACTCATTCCTCAGAAGAGAAGCCCAAACTCCCATATCCTCTAGGCCGGTCTTCCGACCTGTTCACGTGGCCCTCCCACCCAGGACTTCATAGACTTCACGGCGTCTGCCCCTCTGCTTGGACCACCCCCATCTCTCATCCTTTTCACCCACTGTCCCAGCCTCAGAGGGTCAGCAGGATCATCCTGTGCACTGGGACAGCTTCACCTCAGTGACCTCCGCCTGCCTAAGGCCCCTCAAATTCCAGAACCATTGCACTGCTCACTGATAGGACCGAGGTTTAAACCCACAGACACTCCGAGGGTGAGATGGGGAGTCTCTCCCCCACTTCTGCCTCGGAGCACAACTGTGGGCCATCACAATTCGGAATTGACCCAAGGGCCATGGGCTGGGTGTGGCTTTCAAAACAACAGTACTGTGGGTGGGACTCCTTCTTCCAAGGAGCCCTGCGGCACAGTGGTTAAGCACACAGCTGTCAGCTATTAAGTGAGCAGTTCGAACCCACCAGCTGCTTCATCATAGAAAGATGAGGCTTCCGCTTCAGGAAGGATCTTCTGCCTCACCGAGATCACAAGGAGGCAAGGTGGGCTCAGGGGTCATGGCTGTTGGTGGTTTGGGGGTTCTCCAGTTATGGAGCGGGAGACAGGAGACAGCTCCTTGTCCCAGCAGGTAGACAGTCTGCACTCAGGTGTCCAGACAAGCATGCAGGGCACTGATCCTAGACCTTCAGGCCACCCCAGCAGGTGAAGGGGCCTGGCAGGTCAGATGGCCGCCCCAGGACTGACCGGCCCTGAGGCTGGTGGAGACCATACTCTAGAAGCCCCGCTCCACCTCCTATGTCATCGCTGTTCACATCTTCACATCTTCAGCGCCCAGGGAGCTGGTCCCCAGAGCTGCCTCCTCGCAGTAGCCTGCAGGACTGGTCCCCAAGCCCTGGTTGCCTGGCAACCACCTCATGCAACCGGGCAACCGCCATCTTGGTCCCGCCAGAGCCTCTGTTTTTTCCACCACGTCAGCACCTGATGCCCCTGGAGCCAGGGCCTGGACTCCAGCTGACCCTCCTGGACCATGCCCAGATGCCGACCCTACAGTGCCTCCAGCCTGGAAGGTCAGAAGCCCATCCCACGGCAGGGCGGGTCCCTAGTGGTGGGATCCAGGTGCAAGCAGACCTTTCTCTGGGCAGGGGACCCCTCTGGCTGCACAGTTGACCTGAGCCGGTGGCATCCCAGGGTCAGAAGGCACTGGGCCCCTGGTCAGGCTCACATGGAGGCCACTGCTGGCGACCGGTCCCCCTCAGCACATCTGTGCAAGAAGGATCAGATGGCCTTCCCCTGGCTCCCCCGACTCCACCCCGTCTTAGCCTTCTCACCTGTTAGGGGGTCACACTGCCAGCCCCACCCACAGCAGGCGGGGAGGGGAGGTCCCTCATTGCTGATAAGTGCCTCTCTGTGACCACTGCTCTGGGAAGCCCACCCCCAAACCCAAGCCCATTAATCTCAGCCTTCAAGACCCCACCCGGGGCCCAGCTGCAGCCTCAGCAGAATGAAATGCAGAGCACAATTAGTACTTCATTAATAATCGATGAGATGCCAATTTACACGGGGCCTGGGGACACTACAGAATCAGGCTGGCCTGTGACAGGCGGAGGTTAGGTGCCAGCCTGGTGGAGAGTTCCAGAAGATGGGAGGCTGGGCTTGGGCATGTGTCTATGAAGGAAAGAGCAAATGAACGCAGTCTTCTGGACTGGCCGCAGGACCCCGTCTCCACACACCCCGAGGTCCAGCTGTGTGAGACCAGGATGGTCTTGTTCCTGTCCAGGGGCAGGGCCTGACTGTTCTCCCCAAGGGCCTTTCCCTGCCCCTCCCCAGGGGCACAATGGAGTGATCCTGGTTCCTCCAGCTGACTGCCGCCTCATCCTTTAAGGCTGAAAGTGGGGTCCCCTGGAGCGTTCCCCGCATCTGCCTCCAGCTATGCTGCCTGTGGCTTTGGTAACTTAGATGATGTGTGACGCCTGTCAGGTCTGTGCAGTCGTCATGCAGGGAGCCCTCGTGGCACCCCGGTTAAAGCCCCAAGTTGCTGACAGAAAGGGCAGCATTTCAAACCCACCAGACACTGAGGAGAGAAACAAGGCCGTCTGCTCATCCCAGCTCACGGCTCTGGAGTCACTGGGGGTGGGGGGGTGGAGTTCTGCTCTGTCCTGCAGGGTCAGGGCCTGGCCGATGTCAGTGGACGGACAGGTTCCCTGACTCTGACCCATTTGGGTAGAGACGCCACGTGACCCATAACCTGCAGGGACGCCAGAGTGGTGGTGCTGGCACCCGGGCCTCATCCATTGGGAGCCATCAACCTTTCAGCTGGTGGTCAAGCACTTAACCACCTGCACCACCACGGGCCCCCTAGAGGCAGTGGGGGCTGGCCAGGGGTGTTGCCAATGGCAGGGTGATGGGCTTGGCGGTCAGTGAGCCACCATGAGTGGGTGCCATAGAGGAGGAACCATCATGGGGCACCAGAGGGGAAGGTGCAGGCAGAGGGAGCAGCCTGTGCAAAGGCCCTGAGGTTGGAAAGGCGGATGGATGGAACTGAAGGACACAGAGGCCGGAGGGACAAGACGTGGGACAGAGAGGGAGGCCGGCGTGTTCCTGTCAGGTCCCTTGAGTCCTGTCTGCCTCACTGAGAGCCCATGGGAGACAGAACAAATGTCCGTCCTGGCCTGAGGCCACTGCTATGGCCAGCGTCTTCCCTCCGAGCCTCCCCTTTGCCCACCCTCAGCAGGGTCCAGGCCCTCCTGACGACTTGCCCCTATGGGCCCTCCTTGCTCTTCCTCCAGGACAGGAGGTCCAGAGGCCACTCAGTGTCGTCGCCAGCTCCACAGCTCACAGGCACTGGTCACTCCGCCGTCTTCTTTATTCATTGTCTAACTGTCAGATCTGGAAGCAGGAGCGGCATCCACTTCCAAAATGGCTTGCCTCCGGAAACTCTATGTATGAACAGTGCTCAGGCTGTTCGTTCATAGGGTCGCTATGAATCGTCTACGACTCGATGGCATTAAACAACAAACAACAACAATTGTCAGATGCATGGGAAGCAAGCCCTGCCCCCCGCACCCTGCGTAAGTGCCGGCAGTGCGCCTGCCCGGGGTGACTTGGCTTTCGATCTCTGCTGCCACCATGAGTGCTGACGGTGGACCCACGTAAGATGAAATCCTTGACAACTGGAGTAACTGCTCCATCTCAGGACACGGCCCGTTTGCTCAGTGATGTGCTTCTTGTTTTCTTGACGTTGAGACGTGATTTGGCGGGAAGGCTGCTGTGTTGGATCTTCTTCGGCAAGTTTGAGCTCTCCTCACTTTCAGCAACACTCTGGATTGCCCTCTGGGTACAGAGGAAAGCTGCCAGGCCTGGCCGGGGACAGATGTGGCCTGGACCGGCCGCCGCAGGAGACGCGGGAGGAGCTGTGCAGTGGGTGGCGGGAGTGGGGGCGGTTGGCTTTCACCACCACCCACATCTGTAACAAGACCCCCAGCGGGGGTCACACGGGGCGTCTCCAGTTGCACCCAGAACCCAGATCCCTCACCGCTTCCCGCCTGCACCCGCCACCCTCACCACAAGATTGAATTTACAATGGACTCTGACACATTTAAGTCCATTTATTGCAAAATTACTTTTCAATAATTACATCACTGTGCCGGCTGTGTTGCATAATGAAATTAGCATGAGAGATATTAGAGAGAATATAAAATTATAAGAAATATTGAAATACCTCTCTCTCATCTGTCTCCACAAGCCCTGTAGTTTAACCGGGGAAGCCGGGCACCTCACAGAACTCCACGAGTGTCGTTTTATAATGTCTCTTGTATAAATTAATTATAATGGTTATTGCAGCCTCACATTATTGCATTGAAAGTTCCCTCCACTCGAGTCTTTTAGGGGGCCCTGGGTGGGGTTCTGAGTCCTCCGGGTACAGCCTGGAAAGGGTTCAGGGCAGAAAGTAAGTAAGGTCTGGGTTGGGGTCAGGCACTTGGGGGGTCCTGACCCTACAGCTTTCGAGCTGTGAGTTTTCAGCAAAGCTGGGGACTCTTCTGAGTCTATGCTTTCCTCAGCCGCTAGAAAAAGAATTTTAACAGAAAATCCCACTCCCTGCTTGGTTAGTAGAATCGAGGACAGCAAGACTTTGTCCCGCATATTTTAGGCAAGTGGTCAGTGGTGGGGCGGGGCTAGTCCCGGGAAGAGGGTGTCCTGCTGGGAAAAGCAGTCTCTGTCCTTAGATGTCCTCAAGGCCACAAGTCACTGCCACCCTGCAAACAGCAGGTCTAGACCCTGCTTGGTCCCGCACCGTCCTGACCGTGGCCATCATGTTCAAGTCCACTGTTGTCATCACTGTGTCCGTTCCTCTGGTGGAGGGTCTTCCTCTCCTTCACTGACCCCCCACCCTTCTCAGCCTGGCATCCTTTCCAAGGACTGTCTCCTCCTGAAGATATACCCAGAGTCAGACCAGGGAGCTTTGCCTGCACCTCCTGCAACACAGATTTGTTGATTCTTTGGTGGCCCAGGGGGTGCTGAATGCACCTCTAACCCCAGAGTTCCAAGGCACTGACGTAAATTAGAGGGTCATTAAAAAAAGAGGCCGAGCCTCATGGCAGAGCAGTGCAGGGAGGGGCTCACGCACAGCGGCGACTGGGCATGCATGGGGCCAGGCGGTGCTGTCATGTACGGGATGGGGGTGGTGGTGAGCTGCCCCCACAGCCCCCACAGCACGGCCTTCGCCAGGCACAGCTGAGCATGCGTTCAGATCTCACGGCAACGGCCGCTGAGTCGGGGCCCGGTCCTAATGACCTTGCTGCGTTCCGAGGCCATGAATCTCAACAAGAGGAGACTGCCCATCTTTCTCCCCTCAGTCTGGTCAGTGGATTCGAACTTCTGACCTTCCTGCCAGCAGCTCAGCATGCAATACACTGCATCAGGGAGCATCCCTGTACTGAGTGCTGTTGTCCTGAGCCGTCAAGTTGGACCCACTCACAACTGACCTCCTGGTGGGTTTTCAGAGACAGCACATCACAGACAGTACCCATCCTCCCCAGGGGACAGCTGGCAGATTCGAACCACCCGCCTCTTGGCTGACAGAGCAGCTCCTTCTGAGAGCTGTTGTTAGGGGCCTGTGACCCTGTGATCTGGCCCCTGCGCTGTCCTGCGCCGTCCTCATCATCCCTGACACACCGAGCCCGTTGCTGTGGTCACCGTGTCAGTCTGTCTCGCTGACGGCTTCCTCTTTCACTGCCTCCATCTTTCCAAGCATGATGTCCCTCTCCAAGGAACAGCCTCTCCTAGCAACATGGGCACAGTATGTGAGACGAAGCTTTATCACCTTTGCCTCCAGGAAGCACTCTTTCTAAGGCTGCACTTTCGATAAGCGACATCATGACAGATGGAGAAAAAACGGAAACTCTCAGAGACTTCTTCGTCTGACTCTGCTGCACCATCGCTGTACAACAAAACAGTTCTAAAAAGTGAACTGCTTAAATTAACATGATCTGTGTTTTTGTTGGTTTGTTATTTTAATTCAGAATCTTTTTACCTGTAATTTTCAATTGTACTTTGAGTGAAAGCTTTCAGACAAACTAATTTTCCATTCATCTCTCAGGGAGGAGTGATAGGGAATGGCAAAGGACACACTGACAAAGAAGATTAATCAGAACTGGCTTTGACAAGCACTGTGGCATTTGGACAAGAACAAACTGGGAGGAGGGTAGAGAGAATAGTGCAACAATGAATGAATGGAAACCCAAAATCTCTGTAAATGTTTATGAAAATTAATAAAATATAATTATAGGAAAAAAAAATAAAAAAAATAATTTTCCATTCAACCATTCACACACATTTTGGGTTACACTGAATACAATACATACAATCTCACCACACTCTCCCCACTTCCTCCCGGTGTCCTCATTTCCATTCATCCTTCTAAACTACCCCGTCCTGCCTGTGAACTTCCTTTCCGTGTAAATGCTGCCCTTTTAATCTCATGTGGCCAACTGTTCTAAACAGTACGTCTCTGGTTACTGTTCACAAAACAACACTAACCATTTCCACTGATGAAATTTCTCCAGGTCAAGGATTTGGGAGGGTGAGGTGGCCCTCTCTCAGGAAAGCACGAGGTTACAGGTGGAGTCAGAGAGGCAGCATCAGCTTGACCGGGGCTGGAGGACCCTCTTCCAAGATGGGGCACCCCTATGGCCGGTGAGAGAGCAGGGCCTGACCTCTCCACAGGGCTATCTGAGCAGCCCTCCTCCATGGTGGCCCCAAAGGTCAAGGTGGGAGCTGCCTGTCTTGCATGACTCCCCATCATTTCCCTCAGCCTCTGTCACTTCACAGGCCACCATCACGGGGAGCCGACACGAAGCCACACAGGTCAGGAGATGAGGCTCATCCCGGAGGCTGGCCAGCTCAGGTACAGTCCTCTCCTTGGGACAGCATGGTGACAGATCCCAAGAGCAGCCCCAAGTATCTGTCATCCTAATCCTGTTTCCTGAGTCCGCACCTGCCTCATCTACAGAACCTGAGGTTAGGGACCTGGTGGCAGCACTCATCCACCTGCTAAGAGTCAGCTTCAGTCGCTTCCGTTACAGACAGTTGTGCTGTCAAGGTGGTGCCAACGCCCAGATGAAACACTGCATCCTGGCTGCCCCACAACCTCCACGGTCACAGCAGCCACGACGTCGATCCGCCTCATCATGGTTCCTCTTCTTCGTGGGCCCTTCACCAAGCGTGATGCCTCCGGGCGCAGGTCCTTCCTGATAGCATGTCCAAACGACAAGTCTTGCCATCCCGCCTTGTAAGGAGCTGCCTGGTCGTGTTTCTTCAAGGATGGATTTATTCTGGAAGTTCGCGGCATATCCAGTATTCTTCATCAACCTAACTGTTGTTGTTAAGTGCCGTCAAGTCGTAGACGACTCATAGCGACCCTATGAATGAATGTCCTCAACACTTGAGTGACTTTCATCCTTTCTCCAGGTTCATAGGGTTTTCGGAGTCAAGCTATTTCAGAAGTGGATGCCATTCCTGCTTCCAAGCTTGTTTTAATTGGGGAGCTCCACCAAACACTGTCCACCGTGGGTAACCATTAATTGCATTTGACAGTGTCATGGTGTTCAGTATCACAGCAACCACGAGTTACCTCTGTATAGGAAATTGACAGACCAGTGCTGTACCACTTAGAAGAATGTTTGACCAACAATTAAAACCAGGCCTGAGGGCCGCAGATTAAAATCACCCACCTTTGGCTTGGTAGCATCACTTTCTATCCACTAGGCCAGCAGAGCTCTCTTGTTGTTGTTGTTGTTGTTGTTGTTGTTGTTGTTGTTGTTAAGTGTCATCAAGTTGTAGAAGATTCATAGATTAAGTGCTCCAGTTCTTCAGTCTTCTACACACACACACACACACGAGTTGACTGGAAATACCATGACCTGGATCAAGAGCCTTCAAAGCGACACCATTGCTCGCCAGCACTTTAAAGAGGCTTCGTGTGGCGGATTTTCCCACCCATTTCCTGGCCTCTGCTTCTCTGGGCACTGACTGTGGCTACAAGTAAGATGAAATCATCACCAGGTGCAATCTCTGCTCCAGTTCTCAATATGGTGTGTGCTGGTCCAGTCACGAGGATTTTGTTTTCTCTAAGTTGTAACCCATTCTGAAGGCTGTAGCCTTAGGCTCTGTCACAGCAAATAGCCAAGCCCTCTTCATTTTCAGAAGCAAGCGTGGGTTATCCGCCCATCACAGTCATGCATCTATCTTGAATTCCTGGTAGTTCTCTGTCCACACATTGCTGCAAATGTCCTTTAATTATCGTCATTAAATGTTACTTGCATGTGATACTGACCCTGCTTGATACGTCTGCATGCTGTTGGAACGCCTTTGTAATGGGCACAAATCTGGGACGCTTGAGTGAGCGTCACATTAGCTGGTCTTCTTACAGGATGTCCTCATCACCTACCACTAACAGCACTGCACATCAGGGTAGGTGCGGAAATTGTCCTTTTAAAGAATATCTTTCCTCTTCACATTGTCATGCTCGCCACAATCAACACAAACTCCTTGTTGCCAAGTCGGGACGGACTCCAGCAGTAAACCCCACGGGAGGAGCCTGGGCGTCTTTCTCCTGTGAGGAGCTGGTGGGTCTGAACCGTGTGTCTTTGGGTTGGCAGCACACCTCTCTGTTCACTGGGCACAGAGCCCAGCACGGTGAACATATGAACGACCACTGTCAAGGTGACCGCTGTGCTCACTAAAGCCTAGGACATTGATCTTCCTGTGTTCCATTTCATTTTCTTCCAGTTTTCTGAGAACCATACTTTATACCCTCCAAATTCCAACTAGTAGATGTTTGTGGTTATTTCTTCTTGTTTTGAGTCACAAATGAATGTTTTTAAAACTTGACTGCACTCATATCACCCAGGTCAACTCTCCTTGGAGAACACAGCCCTTTCCCATCATATCCTGAGACCTTTCCAGCCTGAGAAAGTCTCACGCTGCACTACTGCACTGCGTGGCCACGTATTAAACACACTCCCACAGCACTGCTGGGCAACGTTCCACTGTCCTGCCCACGAGGTTATTCAGC